GAATTCTTAAGAACAGGCTGGTGAGGTTTGTTAGAAGCACCCTTCTACAGAATCGTTTGGCTACTCATATCCCCTAAACACTAAGCATGATAAAGTGACACTGTCCCTTCAAGTGAAACTCAGTGGCACCAAAAGGCCTGAAATTAGGAATTGAATAGTCTCGTGGTTTGAAAAATAGGATGTTTTATCCTCATTTTTGATTATTATTATTTCTTAAGCCCACAATTTACATATGTAAAGCTTTTCATATCAATATCTGTATGTTCATGTTTTTAAGAATATAAAAAAAAATTACCCTCCAGCTCAGTAAAGTCAGGTAAAGGCTGGACTTGGTGTTTAAATGACATTCCACCTTAGCATCCGTGTGGAAGAGAGATTCCCATCAAAAAGGGATCCTAAGCTAAACCTTCGGTTCAGCGCATTGAAGCAGTGTGTCCCTGGGACAGAAAAGCTGGTTGTTGTTGTTGTTGTTGTTGTTGTTGTTGTTTAGAGACGGGGTTTCACTGTGTATCTCGGGCTGGCCTGAAACTCACTATGTAAACCACCGGGCTGACTGACCTCAATCTTACAGAAATCCACCTGCCTCTGCTTCCAGGATGCTGGGATTAAAAGCATGTGCCACCATGCCTGGCTCACTTTTTGTTGTTGTTGTTGTTTGTTTGTACTTTTAAGTAAGATAACCGCAAAACTGAAAGGAGGTTTCAGAGATTTCCCACAGACCCTCTGCCTCCACGCATCCTCTACTCTCAATATCCACACTTCTCACTTGAATGGTATTTGCTACAATCGCCCAAGTCCATACATAGGTTACATTGGAGTTCATTCTCATCAACCCGTACATGTATGGGTTTGAAGCAAGTTCTTACAGTATGGCTTCATGATGAACAATAAGCTTTTTAGCCTGGTTCTGTGGAAGGACCAAAAGGAATTTAAAATACGAGAAAAGCACTACACTGTCTCATAGTGATGTATAACCGTGTCCCAAATATTACAATATTTGTCCCATGATAGATTTGGAACTATTAATAATTTTTATTCAGTATTTGTCCCAGATGCCAACCTAACTCAGCATCCCATGTTGCATCTGCTGAACACAGCCTATGACAAAGCTGTGTGACCACAAGGTCTGGAAATGGAGGCATTTTTCTTAAGAAGGTTGAAGGTGTTAGAGCCAGATTATGTCCCTGGAGTATTGGTTCAGATCATCACGGGACTCCGGTAATATGAAATTGTGTCACATGTAAGTTTGTGAGTTTCTGAAACCAGAGAACTTGATTTTTTGTAACTCCCACGTTTTGTTGTTATAAATTCTGTTGAATTTTTGAATTTTGTCCTCATTTTTTGATTAATCTTCAGCTGATTAGTAATCAGTCTTAACTTCCATCCTCCCAGGTTCCTAAGTTAATGATCACTTAGGAAATTTTAAATAGTCAGAGACCTCATGTTGTGAGTCCTTTGTTAAACAAAACCCTTTTTAAAAAATTAAAAGCACCATTGTATTTTAATTAATCACTTTTTATTTTAAAAGTTTGGGTTTCTATAGAAGCATTTTTTTACAAATATAAGAAAAAATATAGTTTTTGTAATTAAACACAGACATACTTTCACTTACTTTCTCCTCAGTAGTTTCACTATTTGTGAAAGAAATAACAAAAAGCACACTCAGATCACTTTTAAAATAAGGAGTTTTCCATACTAAAGCAGAATCATTTAAGGACCTGTTGTCTTTTTAAGAAAACTCTCTAAAGGAAGTGCCCTGAGAAAGCGTTTCTGGGGAGATGGGAACCAGGCACACTCTTCTGGTCCAGCCCTGGAAATGTGTCCGGTCCTTCCCTTAAGGAAGGCATGCCTGAGAGGCCATTGAACGAAGCTAGGGAGTAGGAGGGAGGGGAAACAATTTTTCTTCCCTCAGGTCTGAAGTACCAGTACTGCTCAGGGCTCCTCTCAGATCTGAAGTACCAATATTGTTCAGGGCTTCCTCAGTTCCCCAGACCGCCGTCCCCCACCCCCGAGATTTGGCTTATTTTAGAGTCTTTCATTTTATGAAGATGGAGTTTTCAATAGAACCCATAGTATCATCTTAAAAAGTTAATTTTCTTTTCCCCTCTACAAGTGACCTGATTGCTGATTCAGAATTCTATCCCAAGCACGTGTTTGTGATCAATCAGTTCTTGCCTCCGTGGATCTCAAGTCTGAGGTCAAAAATGGTCACAAAGCAAATGTGGGCCAACCTAGACTGCGAGGCAAGAGCCTGCCTCAAACAACAACAGGAACACACACAGTGTCTGCATCTTTGTGTTGCCATTCTCTTCGAGACCACAGAGAACAAACCAGACCAAGTTAGACCGCGTTAGCATGTAGGGAATTACACAGGGTGGAAGAACAAGGCGGAGGGGTTAGAGACTTGAGAGGAGTTGCATTTTCAACGGAGGTCAGGAAGTGACCCAGTCAGTCATGACCAAGTGTGTACTTAAAGGAGATGTAAGAGAGGTATACGGTACTGTAAAAAGCAGTGGTCCAGGCAGAGGCAGCCCCACCGAGACCTGTGTTTAAGCCGTATTTCTTAATGGGGTGATTTAGCCCCTGAGGACATTAGGCTAAGTCTAGGGACATTTTCATTATGTTGTTAGTGGGACAGAGAGTGGTGTTACAGTTTGCTCTTCTGTTGCTGGGATAAATGCCATGAGCGAAAGCACCCTAGGAGGACTTCATCTTGTGGGTTGTAGTCCATCACTGAGGGAAGGCAAAGCAGAAACAGGAGGCAGAAACCGAAGCGGAGACCATGCCGGAACTCTACTGAGTGGCTGGCTTTCAGGCTCGTCTTCAACTTCTTATGTAGCTCAGGCCCACCTGTCTAGGGATTGCTCTGCTCACAGGATGGACCTTCCCACATCAATTAACAAAGGGAGGGAGGGAGGGAGGGAGGGAGGAAGGAAGGAAGGGAAGGAAAGACAAGGATAGGGAAGGAAAGGCTCCACAGATATGCCCACAGGCCAGTCTGATGGAGGCAATTCTTCTAGTTGAGATCCCTTTTCCCCAAGTGTGTCCAGGTGATAGCCCAGGTTAGCCATCACAGGTAGTACTCCTGGCATGGCCTGGATAGAGGCAAGGGACCCAGTTTGACGTCTTGTGTACAAGACAGCTCCCTAAAGCAAGGAATGACCCACCCCAAAATGCCAGTAACACGTCGGGAAGGGAGACTGAAGAGAAGTAGATATGGTCAGAGATCACCGAGGCTGGGCACAGCAGAGGCCAGGTTATGTTGACTTCAGGACTCCGCATACACACCCATGCTTGCACACATGTGTACACAAAGATGTACACTTATATTCACACGCCCCAAAAAGAGAGGTGGAGGTGGATAAGGGACACAGGTCAGAGACAGAGTTAGTTGTTTTAGGCAAGAGATAAAGGGCCTTAAGTCAGTACTGAAGCAGTTTGTCACTTA